AATTCAAGAAGAGTAAGAAGAGTTACTTTAAAGGAGGAATTGGCTATTTTACTGATTTTGAAGTCAGGAAATATACTCTTCTGCCTAAATGCTGGTGTGGCAGTTGGTGGAGTAGGAAGCTTCAGAAAACATGACTTATTAGTTTTTATGTGTTGTCAGATTTCTTCATAACATATGACACTTATTTGATTTTCTACCTGTGTCTGATGTGCATCCCAGCACATCCCAGGGCACAAGTGCAGGATATTCGCAAGCTCAGTTCTTTGTGCCTGTCAGACCAGGATCTGAGTGTTGTGCAGAAATAGGAAACTATAAGATATGTTGATATATTTTATTCATATATGTTGACCTACTTTAGTTTGAGCAATACACTGTGATGAGAATAGAAAATAGAAAGATGTTGAACATTTGTGTTCCACAGGTAGAATTTCATATATAAAATTCAGATAAATGGGATGAATAAGGGGCACCTGGGTGGCTCAGTTGGTTAAGTGACTGCCTTCGTCTCAGGTCATGATCCTGGAATCCTGGGATCGAGTCCCACATCGGGCTCCCTGCTCGGCAGGGAGTCTGCTTCTCCGTCTGACCCTCCTCCCTCTCATGCTCTCTGTCTCTCATTCTCTCTCTCTCAAATAAATAAATAAAATCTTTAAAAAAAAAATGGGATGAATAAGTGATGGCACCTGGAAGAAAAAAATTTTAAATCAGAGAAAATATTCTTTGAGGAGAATCTAAGAAAGCGTACTAGTCAGAGACCAAATCTCAGGCGTGGATGCATTCTTTCCCAGAGTAAAACAAACAGTGAATGCTGATGGCTAATAAAGGAGTTTCAGCATCAAATTTCTTGGGTTCAAATGAGGACTCCTCAATATACTACCTGTGTGATCTATAACAAATTTAATTTTATGCCTGCATTATTGTATTTACAGTATAGTAACAGTAATACTAATCACTTCATAGGGTTGAGTTCAGAAATAATATAGCATTAAAGTTGCTTAGAATTAATGAATTAATATCAGCTTATTACTTCGATTATGTTAACATTTACTAAAAAAAAAATCCATTATTCTTTTTAATTTGTACTGCAAAACAAAGACTCATAGAGAGAAAAGACAGTATTTGAATCAAAAAACAAGAATGAAGAGCAAAACGGAAAGATGAACACAAGCCTCCAACAACATCCCCTATCCTCGGCTGCACAAGCTTCCCCACCACAGAAAACACTCTCGAGGGCTGTGGCCCTTCAGGAAGATGGCCATGTTGGGTTCTGAGCTCCATCTGCACACAGATAGAGGCCCTGCTATGGGCAAGGGAAGGGATGCGTTACCCTCCTTCACCACAAAGAGAATGATAACGTCAGTGTTTGGAAACTTAAAACTAAAATAATCATTCAAAATTATATTCAATTAAAATGAATAACTATAGATAATAATCTTGGATCTGTCCATCATATTCAAACATAACAAATTAAAACAAACCTTGAGAATATCCCCAGAAGTGTCTGGGCAAGTAGCAATTTATAACAGTCCAGTAAGTTGTGTAATTACAAAAGCATCAAAAATGCCTAATGATTTGATGGAAGAGAAGCACTAATAGAATACTGTTTTGGTGTGAACAGGAACTGTCCATATTTTGCCCACTAATGCACTGAATTAAAAAAAAAATGGTCCCTGGACCAGGTTTTAAAAGAATTTCATAAATAAAAATCAGATAAATGGGATGAATAAGTGATGGCACCTGGAAGAAAAAAATTTTAAATCAGAGAAAATATTCTTCGAGGAGAATCTAAGAAAGCGTACTAGTCAGAGACCAAACCTCAGGCGTGGATGCATTCTTTCACAGAGTGATCATTCTGCGTACTTATTCAAGGACATATCTGAAATAGTCTATTATCCTGATTGAATGGCCTCAGAGCCACTGAGTTTCCAAGCTTATTTGTTTCAATCTTTTTCCTTTTCTGTGAAGGTCACTGTAGGAAATTGTCTTAAATATACTGCATCCAAATCTTGCCCCTCACACAAATGTTCAACATCTTTCTATTTTCTATTCTCATCACAGTGTATTGCTCAAACTAAAGTAGGTCAACATATATGAATAAAGTATATCAACATATCTTATAGTTTCCTATTTCTGCACAACACTCAGATCCTGGTCTGACAGGCACAAAGAACTGAGCTTGCGAATATCCTGCACTTGTGCCCTCCAAACCCTGCTCTTCCTCTAGTGTTTGCAGCTCAGGAAATCATACTTACCATCCTGCCATTGCTTAATCCAGAAACAGGGACAACAGTCTTTAAAAGGACAGCTATAACTGGTGGTTAAAATCTGCAGTCACATAATGTCGTTGCCCTTCTCAACACTGTTCGATGGATCTTCATTTCACTTAGAATAAGGTCCAGATTTCTTACGTAGGCACACAAAGCCCTACAAGAACAGACTCTTGGCTACCTCTCTGACTTCATCTCTGACCACTCTTCATATAATTCTCCAACCGTGCTGCATCCCCACTATTTCTCAAACATACTTCAGAGTTTTTGTATTTCCGCTTTCCCTTTGGGCACTTGGATTGCCTCCTTACTTAAATTTTGTTCTTTGAAGAAAGGCCTTCCCTATTCACCCATCTTAAACAGTACCTCCATAACTTTCTCTACTTATTTTGAATCATTTAAATTCTAGCTGGAAGCACTCAGAAGCCAGTGTGGGAATTTCCATGTTCTTACTTTGCAAGGAAGCTCATAAAAGTGCTTATTAATATAAAGTGTGCTGTTAAATGTTCAGCAACCAGCTTTCTGAAACAAGAAAACACAACTCTAGTAACATTTCTGAGGAGTAAATGACTCCTGATTTCAAGCTACCAACATTATGCCACTGAATCTGACGTTGGGAAGAGATGATAGTAATTGGTGGGGATATAGTGAGTTAGCTCCACTGTGAAAGACAACAATGACATCAGTGCAGCTTGACTGTTGGCTCACAGCTTATGGCTTCCAGCTTCTGTAGGGTCTACAGTGTTCTTTGTGGGAGCAAGATCTAAACTCCTGTCTCGTGAAACCCCTGAAATGTTGATGTCTTTGCTACTGCGAAACAGTCTAGCCTGTCTTGATTTGTACAAATATGTTTGAGGGGTGGGGGTTGGGACATCAACCTGGCTTTAAGAGTTCTGGTTCTCAGGCAAATGTCATCATTACACAGTTCACAGGCCTTGTGATAAAAAGACACAGATGGCTCAGGAGGAGAATTTCTGCATATGGTACAGAAACCAGTGGTAGCTCTCCTGAAAATCTTCAAATAAGATAATGCATAACATAACAAAAAGGATGATTGTTATTACTTTAATAATTTAATAATTATTACTACTTTGTTCCAGAAACTGTTCTAAGCACTTTATCTTTGGTCATATTTCATTTTATTCACCAATAAACTCTAGAGGAATATACTGTCATCTCCAATTTATAGTTATTCAACTATATTGAGATTGAAGGTGATTAAGATTTTTTCCCATGCAGCTAGTAAGGGGTTATGGAATCTTCTTTTTAAAAAGGTCTTTTTTTCTCCATAGAAAATAGGAAACAAAACATATACAACTTCCTTCTCTGATCAAGGAAAGATAACATAAAATCAGAACTATGAATATCCCTTTAAGCAATGATTCAGTATTAATTAATGAAAATATAAAACCAGTCACTTAGACTTAAAACACATTGTTGTTCAGACTATATTTTATACAGCACTTCTCACTGCTAATAAGAGAAGTTAATGATACTGTATATTTATGACTCAAGTTGTTAAACTATGAACCTACCTTCTAACCTACAGAATCACCTATATGTTGCCATTTTCCTAATATCATCTATTGAGGCAACACATGCAAATATAAAAATTAGCAAAACATTTATTTATATATTGTTTGTCCTAAGCACCCATTGATTCCTGTGGGTCCAAGACTAATGGTATGTGCTAGCAAATTCTCATACTCTGAACTCCCTTATGGCCAATGAGAGAACTGGCCAATGTCGAGGAACAAGTCATAAGAGCTTATGGACCTCACTTTCTCCAGGTGAAGCAAACTTGCTAAAAGTATAGGGATTTAGGAGGTTCTTTGGCTTCATTAATAATATACTAAAACCAACCTGTCTTAAAACTTCCGTACTTGGCCGGGGCGCCTGGGTGGTTCAGTTGGTTAAGCCACTGCCTTCGGCTCAGGTCATGATCCTGGAGTCCCGGGATCGAGTCCCGCATTGGGCTCCCTGCTCGGCGGGGAGTCTGCTTCTCCCTCTGACCCTCCCCCCTCTCATGTGCTTTCTCTCTCTCATTCTCTCTCAAATAAATAAATAAAATCTTAAAAAAAAAAACAAAAAACTTTCGTACTTGGTATTGACTCTTTTGTGATATGGAAGCATGTATTTGTTTCATGATGATAAAATTAAGAAAACAATGAAATAAAATCTTTCTTCACTAAAGTCCAACTATCAATCATATGAAATAACTCTGGCATGTAGTATACAGAGCTCACACAAAAGCTTAGCAGTTTTTGCTGCACTAGTAATGATGTCATAACAGAATTGATTCCAGAATATGGAAAAGAAAGGCCAAGGTCAGATGACATCTTCCTGTCAGGACTTCAACTCCAGTGCCAACAGGAAAGCTCCAAAGTCTCCAATTCCAAATGTATCATTTGGCAGAAATTTCTCTGTAATTTCTATAAGCTGTTTTTACACATGATTTAATATTTCAGCATCTGCTTTATAGTTACTGAAGGTCAAACACCAGGGCAAACACTTGAAAATTAGCCACAATTATAATTTAATTCAATGAAGAATCCAAGGGAAGGAAAAATAATAGCAATTTGCTCTTCTATGGCTGTTTGCTTTGAATTAAACTATTATTTGACAAAACAAAGATGAACAAAAAGGGGGTTTAAAACAAAGAGTAGACAAGATTGTCTCTTAATACTTAGATAAAGTATTTCAGAAAATCAAACAGTTAAAAAGCATTCAACAGTGCTCACTTCGGCAGCACATTTACTAAAATTGGAACAATACAGGGAAGATTAGCATCTTAATCAAGGATGACATGCAAATTCATGAAGCATTCCATATTTTTTGAATGCACATGGAACTTTCTCCAGAATAGATGACATACTGGGTCACAAATCAGGTCTCAACCAGTACAAAAAGACAGATTATACCACACATACTTTGAGGCCACAATGTTTTAAAACTTGAAGTCAACCACAAGAAACAAATCGGAAGGACCACAAATACATGGAGGTTAAAGAGCATCCTATTAAAGAATGAATGGGTCCACCAGAAAACTAAAGAAGAATTAAAAAAATACATGGAAACAAATGAAAATGAAACACAATAGTTCAAAATCTTTGTGATCAGCAAAGGTGGTCTGAAGAGGCAAGTATACAGCAATACAGGCCTTCCTCAAGAAATAAGAAAAGTCTCAAATACACAACCTAACTTTACACCAAAAGGAGCTGGAGAAAGAACAGCAAATAAAGCCTAAATCCAGCAAGAGAAGAGAAATAATAAAGATTAGAGCAGAAATCAATGATATAGGAATAAAAAAAAATAGTAGAACATATCAATGAAACTAACAGCTGAAATTAAATTCTTGAAAGAATTAATAAGATTGATAAACCCCTAACCAGACTTATCAAAAAGAGAAAGAACCCAAAAAAATAAAATCATAAATGAAAGAGGAGAGATCACAACCAATACCAAAAAACTATAAACAATTTTAAGAGAATATTATGAGCAATTATATGCCAACAAATTAGGCAATCTCGAAGAAATGGATGCATTCCTAGAAACATATAAACTACAAAACTGGAACAGGAAGAAATAGAAAACCTGAACAAATTTATAACCAGCAAAGAAATTGAATCGGTAATCAAAAATCTCCCAACAAATAAGAATCCAGGGCCAGATGACCTCCCAGTGGAATTCTACCAAACATTTAAAGAATTAATACCTATTCTGTTGAAACTGTTTCAAAAAATAGAAATGAAAGGAAAACTTCTGAACTCTTTCTAGGAAGCCAGCATTACCTTGATCCCCAAACCAAAGACCTTACTAAAAAGAATTACAGACCTTGTAATATCCCTGATGAACATGGATGGAAAAATTCTCACCAAGATACTAGTTAATAGGATCCAACAGTGCATTAAAAGGAGTATTGACCACAACCAAATGGGATTTATTCCTGGGCTGCAAGTGTGGTTCAACATCCACAAATCAATCAATGTGATACACCACAATAAAAAAAAGGACAAGAACCCTATGATTCTCTCAATAGATGCAGAAAAAGCATTTGACAAAATACAGCCTCCTTTCTTGATAAAAACTATCTGCTGTGTAGGGATAAAGGGAATATACCTCAATATCATAAAAATCATATACAAAAACCCACTGTAAATATAATCCTCAAGCGGGGAAAACTGAGAGCTTTTCCCCTAAGGTCAGGAACATGATAGGGATGTCCACTATCACCGCCGTTGTTCAACATAGTACTGGAAGTCCTAGCCTCAGCAATCAGACAAGAAAAAGAAATAAAAGACATCTAAACAGGCAAAGAAGAAGTCAACCTTTCGTCTTTGCAGATAACATGATACTCTATGTAGAAAACAAAAGACTCCACCTGAAAATTGCTAGAACTCATACAGCAATTCAGCAAAGCCACAGGATATAAAATCAATGCACAGAAGTCAGTTGCATTTCTATAGACTAACAATGAGGCAGAAGAAGGAAAAATCAAGGAATTGATCCTATTTATAATTGCACCAAAAACCATAAGATACCTAGGAATAAACCTAACCAATGAGGTAAAGGATCTGTACTCTGAAAACTATAGAACACTTATGAAAGAAATTGAGGAAGACACAAAGAAATGGAAAAATGTTCCATGCTCATGGATTGGAAGAATAAATATTGTTAAAATGTCTACACTACCCAAAACAATCTATACATTCAATGCAATCCCTATCAAAATACCATGAACATTTTTTACAGAGCTGAAACAAACAATCCTAAAATTTGTATGGAACCAGAAAAGACCCCAAATAGCCAAAGGAATGTTGAAAAAGAAAACCAAACCTGGGGGCATCACAATTCCAGACTTCAAGCTGTATTACAAAACTGTAATCATCAAGACAGTATGGTACTGGCACAAAAACAGACACATAGATCAATGGAATAAGAACAGAGAATTCAGAAATGGACCCTCAACTCTACAGTCAACTAATCTTCGACAAAGCAGGAAAGAACATCCAATAGAAAAAAGAGTCTCTTCAACAAATTGTGCTGGGAAAATTGGATGGCCACATGCACAAGAATGAAACTGGACCATTTTCTTACACCATACACAAAAATAGACTCCAAATGGATGAAAGACCTAAATGTGAGACAAGAATCCATCAGAATCCTCGAGGAGAACACAGGCAGCAACCTCTTTGACCTCAGCTGCAGCAACTTCTTCCTAGACAAATCTCCAAAGGCAAGGGAAACAAAGGCAAAAATGAACTATTGGGACTTCATCAAGATAAAAAGCTTCTGCAAAGCAAAGGAAACGGTTAACAAAACTAAAAGGCAACCAACCTACAGAATGGGAGATGTTTGCAAATGTCTTATCAGATAAAGGGTTAGTATCCAAAATCTATAAAGAACTTATCAAACTCAACATCCAAAAAAAAAAATCCAGTCAAGAAATGGGCAGAAGACATGAATAGACACTTCTCCAAATAAGACATCCAAATGGCCAATAGACACATGAAAAAGTGCTCCACATTACAGAGCATCAGGGAAATACAAATCAAAAGCACAATGAAATATGACCTCACACCAGCCAGAATGGCTAAATTTAACAAGTCAGGAAATGACAGATGTTGGCGAGGATTCAGAGCAAGGGGAACCCTCTTACACTGTTGCTGGGAATGCAAGCTGGTACAGTTACTCTGGAAAACAGTCTGGAGGTTCCTCAAAAAGTTAAAAATGGAGCTACCCAATAACCCAGCAATGGCACTGTGAGAGATTTAGCCCAATGATACAAACACAGTGATTCGAATGGGCACATGCACCCCAATGTTTATAGCAGCAATGTACACAATAGCAAAACTATGGAAAGAGCCCAGATGTCCATTGACAGATGAATGGATAAAGAAGAAGTAATATATGTACAATGGAATATTACTCAGCCATCAAAAAGTATGTAATCTGCCATTTGTAAGGATGAGGATGGAACTAGAAGATATTATGCTTGCCATAAAGACAAACAGTATATGATTTTACTCATATGTGGAATTTAAGAAACAGAACAGATGAACATAGGGGAAGGGAAGGAAAAATAAAATAAGATGAAAAAAGAGAGGGATGCAAACCATAAGAGATGCTAAACTCTGGAAACAAACTGAGGGTGGCTGGAGGGGAGGTTGGTGGGCGGATGGGGTAACTGGGTGATGGACATTAAGAAGATCACTTGATGTAATGAGCACTGGGTGTTATATGCATCTGATGAATCACTGAATTCTACCCTTGAAACTAATAATACAGTATATGTTAACTACATTGAATTTAAATAGAGAATTTTATTTTATTTTTTTTAAAGATTTTATTTATTCATTTGAGACACAGAGATACAGAGAGAGAGACAGCATGAGCAGTGGGAGAGGCAGAGGGAGAGGGAGAAGCAGACTCCCCGCTGAGCCAGGAGCCCGATGTGGGGCTCAATCCCAGGACCCTGGGATCATGACCTGAGCCAAAGGCAGACGCTTAACTACCTGAGCCATCCAGGCGCCCTAAATAGAGAATTTTAAAAGAGCATTCAACAACCACCGTGCATGACACAAATAAATAATTAGCTGAAACATTCTCTATCTCAAGACTGGAATAGATTTTAACCAGCCAAAGTTGTAAAATTCTACAGAAATGAGATCCATCTGATTCAATGCATCCCTTCGATACAGAGAGTAAATTTTATTGTCTTGATCTCAGTTCCAGTGACATTGTGGATATATTTCTATACTACTATCGCTTAATGACACTGCAGACTTTGATTAAAGACCCTATAATGTGTGGGCACCTCACTTGAGGCTCAGTACCATGATGTAGAGTAGAGCAGCCCTGGTAGCTGTCTTTCCCAATATTCATTCTAGAGATTAGAGTCAGTCAATCATGGTAATGGATCCCCCCTTGCTAGTGATTCATTGAGGAAAGGTCAGGGAACCCATCTCTCTGCTCTCACACTCAAAGCAAATCTTATCTGATAAAAATTAATACTACAATAACGCTATCAAGTTAGTTTTGTCATGTTCTTCCTCTTAACCAGGGAAGCTTAGAAGGTTAATATAGTTGTTTATGACCAAATGATAGGGGCAAGTTATCAAATCCATTGAACTTCATCTTGAGTGACCTTGTGGACGACCTCCCCACAGACCCTGAGTTTGCTCACATGGGAAGCCACCTGTCTCCTGGGAATGGAAAGGGAGCAGGGAGGCAGTAGGCCCTCACAGCTTGGAGGCACCTGCATGCCCCAAAGGCAGGGAAACCTGTGTCTGAGACTGAGAGGAAATGACCTCTGCCTAGTCTTCTGCAGGCAGAGAAAATGCCATGCATTTATTTTCAGAGGACTCCTTCCATACATACAAATGTCCTCCTCCTCGAGGAAGGATGAAGCCTGCTGGTTATTTGGGAAATGGTGCGCTGCTGAGCTGCAGATACAATGGAACGTCTCTGCTGAAGGACTGATTGTAAAGGAGTTCTGCTGCCTGACAGGACCAGCCTTGAGTGCCAGCTCTTCCGAGATTTATGTGGCTGGGAACAAGTTAACGTGCTTGACCCCAAATACTGTCACCTCTAAAAAATACTGCTGTGTAATTTCAATGACTATCATGAAATGAACATTTGTAAACGTGGACAGCACATTGCCAGGCACTCATTTTACACACTTCTCAAGCTGGGTTCCCTATTCTATGGAAAGTTGATTTGATTCTTTTTGTAAACTCTGTTGAGGCAGAACCATGAGATGTGACAGATTAAAAATGGCGACAAATTCTTAGACACTGCTTTCCATGAGAGTTTGGATTTAAGTCGCTCTTCCTG